GCCCCCTGCTGGCCGGGCGGGCGCAGGGCCCCGTCCGAGGGCGTTCGCCGGTGCCCGCGGGGCAGCGCCCGGGCGGCCGTCACGTGGGTGGGCGTCAGCGACTGGCGCGGGTCCCTCTTGAAGCTCTCGGCCCGGAGGTCCAGCAGGGGGTTATGGGCCGGGGGGGTGCCGAGGGGGGAGGCCGGGGGCCTGGGGGCCGGGGCGGGCGGCTCCTCGTCCGAGGGCAGCAGGGACTTGGTGGAGTTGCAGTCGGAGAGGGAGGAGAGCGAGAGCAGCGTGACGGAGCTGGGGGGCCCCTGGGCACGGCCCCCCCGCGGGCACGGCCTCCCCGCCTGCTCCCGGCCCAGCTCCAGCAGGTCACTGCCCAGTGCCACCGAGGCCAGGACGGAGGCACAGCCCAGGAGAGCCAAGGCGCTGCGCTTGTGGGGCCCGGCCCTGCCGGGGGGCAGCTCCGCCGGGGACTGGGGGGTGCTGCCCTCCGCCTCCACGTACTCCTCTGGGGAGAGACAGACAGACGGACAGGGGGTCAGCACCGGGGGGGGGCACAGCGACCCCCAGCCCTTCCCATGGGCCCCTCCCGCCGGGCCTTGGCCCCCCCATCTTCCTGCTTCGGGGCCCCTCCCACCGGGCCTTGGCCCCCCCATTTCCCTGCTTCGGGGCCCCTGGGATCCCATGCGGGGCGTTGGGGTCCTTGCCCTGAGGCCTCTAAGCCAGCCGGGCTCCAGGGTGGCTAACACAGACCCTCACCCCACTGCTGGAGGTACCAAGCCCCCCCCACCCCCCCCCCCCGGACACCCCCCCCCGCCTCGGGACCTGCCCCCCCCATAGGCGCGGGCAGCACGTACCCATCTCCGTCAGGCTGGCGAAGCCCCCAGTCATGGGGGCGCGTTTCGGGGACTTGCCCAGGTTGGGGGCGCTGGACGACCACTGCTTGCTGCCCTCGCCCAGCGCCTTCAGCCTGCGCCGGAGAGACGGTGAGACGGCTCCAGAGCCCCCCGCCGGTGCCCCTCACTCCCGACCCGCAGCCCCCGCCCTGACCTCCCCCCAGCGCTGCCGGTGCCCCTCACTCCCGACCCGCAGCCCCTGCTAGCCCAGCCCTGCCCCCCCCAGCCCTGCCAGTGCCCCTCACTCCCGACCCGCAGCCCCTGCTAGCCCAGCCCTGACCTCCCCCCAGCGCTGCCGGTGCCCCTCACTCCCAACCCACAGCCCCTGCTAGCCCAGCCCTGCCCCCCAGTGCTGCCGGTGCCCCTCACTCCCGACCCGCAGCCCCATGCTAGCCCAGCCCCGGGCCTGTGGACATGCAGTTAAACGAATTGGGCCCAGAACCCACCCCCAAGCCCTGCCCCACCCCCCTGGTCTCGGGAGCCCCAGGGGGTCCCCCAGCCTTGCGCCCCGGC